GAACTTATCAAACCTTTTGAGACGTGGAATGACCCAAAAAATCCAAATGGAAGGGTCAGAAAGGAAACAGGGTTTCTGAGATGGACTTACTGACTTAGCCTTAAGGATCTTTTCTCTTGGGTTACCAATCCATTTGGATTTCTTGTGTCATTCTTGAAATTCAGTGCAAGAGCCGTTTTATCTAAGAAAAAGTTTCTTAGACGGCTAAAACTCCATAATTGTATCTTATATATTCTCTTTTTTACAATTAACATCTTTTTTAATTTTTACTCTCAATCAATACTTTTCATAATTTCAAATATGTAAAAAATCTTAAATTACAAACAAAATTAAAATGTAAATAGAAGATTTAACTATTAATTTTTAAGATTTTTACAAGTTTTAAATTATAAAAGATATTAACCAACAAGAAAATTTTTTTTAAAATATTACAAAAAATAATATTCAAAGTGTAAATAAGAGTTTGGCCTTCCCAGACAGCGCCCAACAAACACAGCATATTTCATCTTTCAAAATTTAGCTCTGAAGAAAACGACAAATAAAGATGTTTAGCCTAGAAGGGACTCCAAAAACTAGACAACAAGACATTATTCAAACTAATCCATGCGCACATGGCACCTCCATGGTGGTTAGGGGTGTAGAATTAAGAAAAGACAGCAGCTACGTGGGGAGCAACTGGAGAGAGAATTGTTCATGCTGCCACTTCTGTGTTCTCTTCATTCTTTCTCTTTCTTCCTTTTGTTGATTCATTACCTCCACTCTCTTGCTGCTTAGCTTTCTTTTGAGCTCGAATCATGGCTCTTCTTGCACGTGGGCGCATTTCTCGCACTTTTCGGGGAGGCATTATATATGGTTCAAGCAGCCGGTCACAAAAGGGGTGCTCAACGTCAGCAAATATCCTCAACTTGCGATCTCTATCCTACAACCACAAAAGACAAGAATGTTAGATAATCTAACTACAATACACAAAGCAAAATTATAAACATAAAAAAGGTTTAGGGCAGTAGGACAAAGCACCAGCAACAAGATGTTGGTAAGTAAAAGAGCTTTCTTTATTTATTTACTCCTTTTAACAACTTTGCAGCATCCAATACATTCTTGTGTACACAGATTGCAAGGCATGATAAGCATGCAGGCGCTAACCACACAATACATGCAGAAGCATGGTAGTCCATAGACCCTACATAAGAAAATTTGTATATAAAAATAAATGTACATGCACACATACACAATGAAAATTAATCCTTCAGCTCCCTTATCTTAGTTAAAATGAAAAGCAAAAAATAATAATAATCACAAGATAAAGGCACAAAAGAGAGAGAGAGAGAGAGAACATTAGGGAAGCATGGTAAAATGAAGAAAAGAACTTATATCTGGTTAAACACGCACATCACGCAATTTGTTTCTTGGAAGCATGCGCAGGACAGGTTTCCGATGACTTCTGTAGGATCCTTAGCCATCTGCTCCTTTAAACTCCTTTCCTTAAGGTTTCCCACATAGCTGCAAGAGAAGTATATTAAAACATAAAAAGAACAATCATATAAAACTGAGTTATTCATTTCTATGCAGTTCCCTCCACGGAATCAACTCTAAAACGAACAGCGAAAGGTGTTAGTGCTTACCCAGTATGCCAGCGGTAGAACTTATCAGTAAGTTTTCTCCCAGTAACGCATATATCCTTGGCATTAATCACAACGCACATATCCCCATCATCACGATTTGGGGTGTATGTGGGCTTACCCTTCCGTTGGACCACTGTTGCAATTTGAGGTGCTAATCTTCCAAGCACCCATAACAATTAAAAAATGACATTGATTTTTCTTTACAGGCCAAAAGACCACAATAAGGAAAAGATATTTACATCAAATGATTGGCCCCTACCAAGTTGAAGAGGAAACCAACAAAACTTGCAACAAAAAGGCAGCTACTTGACCAAACTACACATCATAATCTGCCAGTTAAATTTCAATCTCTTTCAGAGAGTGAAGTTTAGGTATTAAGCAGGTCTATTTATCAAGCAGATCATAGGAGGGGGGAAAAAATGTTCCCGCCTGCCCTTTGGCATGAGACACTCTCCATCTCAAACCTTCAAGATTGATACCCCTCAGGCTGGCAACTGCTTTCTGCATGAATACAAAAGCAGGCAAATTTCGATACTTATGGTATAGCAAATGGATTTCTAATTGATAGGGGTTGGTCACTGAACAAATTGCATCACAAATATCGATACAAGCAACAAGGTTAACTTAAAGTAAGGAAGTGTAGCAACTGTTAAGATCAAAAGCTTTTGCTATTTGAAACAACACTAGAGGAGATGCCAATCATCCATAATTTATTTTCACAGAAAATCTAAAATGTCATTTTATGAAGCACAAATCATTAGAGAATTTGATGGGAACAATTATCTATCAGCAACAAATTACAAAGACTTCCAACTTTTGAGTCACAGCAAAAAAAAAATATCCAGGTCCAGGCTAATTAGATATGCAAAAGAATTCAACTCGTGAAGCAATGGGTAGAAGAAACAAGCATGCCCAATAAAGACACTACCTTTTAGGTTGCCATTGAAAGTGGTAGCAGCTTGGGTCGTCATTTCAGCGCCGTTTACTTTAAATCGTCGAATTCTGAGCAATGGAGAGTGGCGTCGGAGTTATGATCCCTAAAAGCTTTGGGCGCACAAGGGAAATGACGACGCGGGGTTGAGTCAGCAAGAGCTGGGCAATGCGGCGGGATCTAGGGTGGTGCGGAACAAAGCCGACGGAGTTTGCAGGGGCTCAGCCCCTGGAGAGGAAAGGCATGAGAGGGAACACGGTGGTTTGATTTTTTGCTGGGCCTGTTGGTTTACGAGAAAAGTCTTTGTATAGCATGCCCACCAACTGTTCGATAAAATTACCTTGATTCAAGGTGTGAGAGGGCTGATTAATGGAAGGTAGCTTTGGGAAAGATTGTTTGAGACTCTCACAAAGTGTTTGTCATGGGTTTCTGCGATGGGTTTGGGTTTAAGGCCCGTTTCTCTTGCGTTACAAATCCATTTCCTGAGTCTGAAATATCAAACATCTGCTTTTGTTTAACAATTAAAGTTGTATAATCTAAAACAATATATCGTACAACACTTTTTTGCACTTTTTATTGTTGGCTTCCAAGTTCCATATTCAAACAGGCAATAACAATAACATACCCTCATCCCCCATGTAAAGTGCCATATTTCAAAAACAAAAGGTGTCACTCATGGATTCAATCACTACAGAAAAGAGACAAGAAAAAGCACTGTGAATCAAGAAGTCCCATAAAGAAGAAGGCATGATTGCCAACAAAAATAAAAGTAAAGCGATGATCCCCTCCTCTTTACTACTTATTATCAACTTGAATCTCCTACTCCCAACTTA